ACCGCTAGAGCTGGGGGGGGGGCAAGGCTGGGCTAGCAGGGGCTGCGGGTCGGGAGTGAGGGGCACCGGCAGGGCTGGGCTAGCAGGGGGCTGCGGGTCGGGAGTGAGGGGCACCGGCAAAGCTGGGCTGGGGGGAGTCCCGGGCTGGGATAGCGGGGGTGGGGGAGTACAGATTAGAACCCAGGAGTCCTGACTCCCGCCCCCCGTTCCTAGCCCTGGCCGCAGGCTCCCTGGCTGACTGGTGCAGGTTGTGGCCTGTTGGAGCCAGTGTCTGATGCCAACTTGGCCCCAGGCCGGTGCCCACCTGCAGCCAGCTGCCGCTCCCCTGTCCGCTGACCTTAACGGCCCCCCCCGGCTCTTCCCTCCGCCCGACCTAATCGGGGGTGAAATTCCAGGAAGGGCTGGCGGGAGCCGTCCCGGAAGCCGCCGTGCCAGCACCGGCTCTTCCTGGCAGGTGGGTCTGGCCTTCACCCCTGCCAAGGGCCCCCGCTGGGCTGGGGCTCGTTAATCCTCCTGCTCCGGCCGGCTCCGCAGCGAATCCCGTTAACTGGGCAGCGTCCCGTGGAAGAGCCGTGCTCGCCCTCCAGACGGGACGCAGCTCACCCGCTGCCCAGCAGACAGGAGGCCGGACTCCTGGGTTCTCAGGGAGGGGAGGGTGGGCTAGCGGTAAGATCAGGGGAGCTGGGAGTCAGGACTCCTGGGTTCTCTGGGAGGGGAGTGGGGGCTAGCGGTAAGATCGGTAGCTGGGACTCAGGACTCCTGGGTTCTCTCCCCAGCTCTGGCGGGGAACATGGCTGTTTAGAACAAGGGGCGGATAATTCCCCCTGGCGGAGGGGCTGAGCTGAGACCCGTCGCATTCATTCCGCATCCCACCGGCATCTCTCCCTGGAGTCCCAAGGCCCTTTGAGGGCAGCGTCCCAGCGGTTGCCCTCTCCTCCCACTGTTGGGAGATGGGTGGAGGGGAAACTGAGGCACCGAGCGGGGCAGGGACTCGCCTGAGGCCGTGCTGCGGATCCGTGCCGGAGCCCGTGGCCCCGTCCGGCTCTGGCTCCGTCTCCCCTGAGCTCAAAGCAGCTGCAGTTGAGGCGCTCGCCAGCAGAGGGCGCCCGAGCAGCAGTTTTGGGGTGTCCCCGTTTGCCTAGTGGGAGTTGCTTGCTAGATACCGAGGGAGCATTGGGGTGACCTGGAGCTCCCCAGCACAGGAATGTGGGGGTTGGGGGGAGCCCTCTGGGGCAGGAAAATGCTGCCGGAGATGGCTGTACCCATGACTTTGGTAGGCCAATGGACACAGCTGGGAGCCAGGACTCCTGGGTTCTATCCCAGGCTCTGGGAGGGGTGTGGGGTCTAGTGGTTAGAGCCAGGGAGGATTGGAGCTAGGAGTCCAGACTCCTGGGTTCCATTCCCAGTTTTGTCACTGGTTCACTCTGTGACCTTAGGAAAGTCGCTGCCCTGCTGCAAGCCTCAGTTTCCCCATGTGACTCTTGTTTGTGATGGGCTAGTGGAGGGTTGTGAGGACGAGTTTGATAACGTCTGGGGGTGGGTGGGAATTGGACCCATCGCTGGCTCCATGGGAAGCGCTACCTGAGCTAACAAAATCCTCATCACCGCCCGCAGTACAGGGCGTGTGACACACAGCCATGCAGTACCGATTCCATTCTGCTGAGGGCAGCAGAGCTGGGGCTGTGTGGCATAAACACAGCCCATGGGCCTGGGTTCAAATGGGAAGCAACTTCCACACCCCAGTGGAGAACCACTAGGCTGCTGCTCCTGCCCTGAGAGAAACTGGCGAGATCTTTGCTCCTGGCTGTGTGTCATGTGCTCTATAGTGGCCACAGCTAATGGGGATTCTCCTTTCATTCGGGGAGTGGGCTGGGAGTTTGGAGCAGGTGGATTCAAATTCCTCCCCTTTCCCCCATCTGGCTTTGGGCCTTCCGCAGCTCGAGTCCGGTCAGCACACGATACCAGCGCCGAGCCTGGGTGCTGGGGTCCGCCCCCCTGTCCTGTCGCAAAACCCCTAGCCAGAGCCGATGGGCCTGGCTTGGGGTCCACATTCCAACTGTCGCCCCGTGAGGCCCTGTCTGCTCCCCATGTAGACCCCAGTGCCCAAAGCCCCCCCACCTTTCTGCAGTGGGGTGGTGGGTGACCTCCGTTTTCTGGTGTTCCTGGCTGGGCGGCGCCATGGTGGGCCCTATGCCTCCGCAGAGCAGGACCTGGGCGCAGGCTGGTCAGCTCCGAAGAGACGGCAGCTGCTTTGAGTGGGGGGCAAAGCTGCAGCACCGGGGCGGGGGTGGGCTCGGGGCAGGGAGCTGAGTGAATGCCACAGGCCCCAGAGGAGATGGGTAAATTCTGTTTGTGCCTGTCCAGCATCGCCGCCTTCAAAAATCACGAGTCAGGCTCACCAAAAATCACGAGATTGGCTTTAAAGTCATGAGATTCTGTAAAACTCGGGCGGAGGGGTGTCTTTTTGTTTGCCATCTGCTTCTCGAGGGTGCCCTGGGGTCACGTTTTGCAGCTTTCTGCCCAGCCGCGAAACATACTTTTTCTTTAAGAACAAAGGCTGAAATCCTCCCGTCTCCCCTTGACTCCGGGAGCTGGGGCTTTAAGGAAAACGACCATGACCCTGAGACCTGGGACAAAGTCAGGAGAGTCGGCGACACGGGGCGGGGGCGCTCGCGGTCCCACCGCGCAGTCGCTGCCCAAGCAAAGGGGCTGGGGGCTGGCTCAGCTCCGCCCTAGAGACAACAGGCCCCCAGAGCGGGGGCGGAGAGTGAAGAAGGGATGGAGAAGAAGGCAGCTGGGGAAGGGGAGAAGGGAAAAGTGCCAGCCCGGAGACGCGAGCAGAGAAGGGAGCGAAGGAAGGAAGGAAGGAGAGACGGCGGGCGGGCAGGAGAGGGGAGAGAAAGTTAAAACCAGGCGAAGGCAGAGCAGTGGGAGGGAGGGAGGGAGCGGGAGGCGGCGGAAGGGGGGAGCGTGGAAGCGGGGGGCGGAGGGCAAGGCGCAGAAAGGGGGAGGGAGGAGGAGGGGAAGGCGAGGGGAGCTCTGGGCTCCCCCCGCCCGTGCTCATTTCCTGGGTGGAGCTGGGCTAGGCAGAGCAAAACCCTTTAAAACCCTCCAGCCCCAGCTCGCGGCAGCCAGCAGGTCCCAGCAAGCGCCGAGGAGCCAAGCGGGGAGCGGGTGGAATCCGTCCGGCTGGCCTGGCCCCTGGCCAGCCCTGAGCCCTCCGGGCCGGAGGCCAGGCTGAGCCCCGGAGCGGCTCCGTCTCGCCCGAGGAGTGGGCCGGCGCGTGGCCCATGGCCCTGGCCGGCGGCCGGCGACGTCGCTGGGGTTCCCTCCGGCTGCTGCGGGCCGGGATCCCCGGGGGCAGGAGCTAGGCCGACTCGGGCAGGAAGCTGCTTGTCGCCGCAGGGGCCCCCCTCGCCCGCCATGGGGCAGGCCATGGGGCCGCTCTTCCTCTTCCTGCTGGCCCTGCTGCGGCTCTGGGCGAGCCAGGCCCTGTCCACCTGCAAGACCATCGACATGGAGCTGGTGAAGAGGAAGCGGATCGAGGCGATCCGCGGGCAGATTCTCAGCAAGCTGCGGCTGGACAGCCCGCCCCAGGTGGAGGGGGGGGACGCCGCCCTGCTCCGCCTGCCCGAGGAGGTGATGTCGCTCTACAACAGCACCCGCGACATGGTGCGGGACATGGTCCGCCAGCAGGAGGCGGGCAAGCCGCGCGAGAGCCCCCAGGACGAGTACTACGCCAAGGAGGTGCACAAGTTCTCCATGCTGCCGGTGAAAGACGGTGAGAGACCGCGGCTTCGGGGGGGCTAGTGGTCAGAGCAGCCAGGACTCCTGGGTTCTGTCCCCAGCTCTGGGAGGGGAGTTGGGTCTGGGGGGTGTTGGGAGCCAGGACTCCTGGGTTCTGTCCCCAGCTCTGGGAGAGGAGTGAGGTCTAGTGGTTAGAGCAGGGGGCTGGGAGCCAGGACTCCTGGGTTCTGTCCCCAGTTCTGGGAGGGGAGTGGGGTCTAGTGGTTAGAGTGGGGGGTTGGGAGCCAGGACTCCTGGGTTCTGTCCCCAGCTCTGGGAGGGGAGTGGGGTCAGGGGGTGGGTGGGCTGGAAGCCAGGACTCCTGAGTCCTATTTCTGGTTCTGCCACTGATACTCGAGGAGTATCTCGAGGCAAATTCCTGCGTGACTCGAGGCAAATTCCTTGACTTCACGGAGCCAAGGTGACGCCTGGTGTAAGTCCATCAGTGCCGAAGGGGTCACAGTGGGGCTGGACTGAGGTGTCTGGGCTTCACCTTCTCTCTCTGCATGGTGGGAGAACAGGAAACGCTCCCAGGGCCGGCGAAGCATCCGCTGAGGGCCCTGAGAGCTGCGCCCGGCACATGCTGGATGTGGGCACTGGGTCCTTACCAGGCAGAGTTAGCGGCCCAGGGAAGTGCCAGTCTGGAGCACTGTCTCTAGTAGATAACGATGGGATAACCTTTCCCCAGGGCAAGTCCCTTCCTGACCCTGCAGGTCAGAGGTCCGCCGATGCCCTGAAGTAGGAGTGTCCACAGCTGTGCTGGGTAGTGCTTAAACCTCAGCATTCCCCATCTGGATCTGCTCGTTCTCCACAGCAATGTGCCATCCTTGGCTTCACTGGGATCCAGTGACAGTGAGTTCCACAGGCTAATGCCGTGGGGTGGATAAACAATGTCCTTTAACCCATCCTTTCAGCGTCATAGAATTACTCTTTATTATGTGTGTGATGGGAGCGCTTAGAGCCCCCGACCGAGATCGGGGCCCCGTCGGGCCGGGCGCTGCCCAGACCCCAGCCGAGATCGGGGCCCCGTTGGGCCGGGCGCTGCCCAGACCCCAGCCGAGATCGGGGCCCCGTCGGGCCGGGCGCTGCCCAGACCCCAACCGACTCCAGGGGCCTGGTTCTCAATTACGCTCAGGTTCCTCTGGGGTGGGATCAGCCCCTGAGAGTCCCCTCCACGCAGGGCCTCCCCAGCTGGCACACAGGCTCTGCTCCCAGCCCCAGCATAGGGGTGGATCGGGGGGGTGGCCAGAGCACACTGAAGTGGCTATTTCCTGCCCTCCAGGGCCCATGGGGCAGAGCGTGAATTAGAGCAGCCCTGGGGCTGGGCAGGTTCCCACCATGCAGAGTGCAAAGGGTTAAAGCGACCTTAACCCCTCCCCCTGCAGAGTGGGGGAGCTGAGACCCCGTGGGCCTGTCCTGTCCACAAGTTCCCTCCCCCAAAGCAGGACGAGCTGGTGGAACTCACTGCCACTAGGTCTCTTTGGCGCCGGGAGCTGAGCCCAGCTGGCCTTTGGGGCAGAGAAGGAGACAGAAACTGAGCGGAGGATCTGGGCTGGGCTAAAGGCCCTCACGCTCCAGGGCGTGAACTAACCAGTAACGCCCAGGCCCTGGTGGGCAGGTTATCCCGTCTGTGTCTAGTAGGGGAAGTCCCTTGTGCCTTCCCCGGAAGCGGCCGCGGCAGACGGGATACCGGGGTAGATGGGCCCCTGCTCTGACCCCGTCTGGCTATTGCTACGTCCTGAATTCTTTTACTGCCCAAGTCCCGCGGCTCAGACACTCGCATGTTCCCAGCTGCTGCCCTGCTCCAAATCCCGTTGCTGCCCCTGGGAGCGGTTTGCCCAGGGGGACGCGTCTGGTTCTGCCGCTGAAGCTGTGTCCTGGCCCGGAGCGTCTCATCTCCAAGTGGTGAAATGTCCCAGCCCTGCCCTGGGGCCGTGTCTCAGCGCGGAACTTCCCGCCCGTAATTACAGCCCGGGCCTGCCTCACTCGGCTGCTGGCTGCACGGGATGGGTACGAGCCCTGGGGGCTCAGCCTTGGGAGGGGCGGCTTTCCACAGACGCAAAGGGGATCCCCCTCCGACTCCATCATCCGGCCCTGGCAGGCGGGCGGGCGCTTTCTGGCTTTCAGTAGGAGGGAAGCATTTGCCAAGTCGGAGCTGGATGCCAGCGTCTGTGCTTCCAAGGAAGGGCCTAGGGACATTGTTGATTTGTGATGTGAGCGCCCAGAAGCCTCAACCCCAACCAGGGCCCCGTCGGGCCGGGCGCTGGCCAGACCCCGGCCGAGATCGGGGCCCCGTCGGGCCGGCGCTGCCCAGACCCTGGCCGAGATCGGGGCCCC